CTTCTTCAAACAAATCATAAAACAGAAAGCTTTTTAATTACTCTCCAATTTCTATATTTTGAAAATTACAATTCATGGTTATATATTATAGGGATGAGAGAGGCGAGTGAGACTGAGAGAGAGAGAGAGGAGAGAGAGGGAAAAAGTGGGAGAAAGGTGAATTGTATATGTCGGTTAGATGATTGTATATTATACATATGTATTTATATATATGACATACGAGATTGGGAGAGCGAAGAGAGAGATGAGAGATATTGGGAGAGAGAGGAGAGAGGTGAGCGAGAGAGTGCGGAGAGTGGAAGAGATGTGAATTATATGTATATAATTGTATATTATACATATGCATTTGTATATATGGCAAACGAGATTGGGAGAGGGAGGAGAGAGGCGAGCGAGAGAGGATAGAGTGGGAGAGAGGTGAATTGTATATGTATATTGATTAGATAATTGTATATTATACATATGTATTTGTATATTTTGGTGAATTATACATATACAAACGTGACTAATTATACAAACTCAAAGTCAGCTCATGTAATTAATGTATAATGTTAGTCGCTAGTGATAATTACAACAAACTATACGATTTTTTTGGCGAAAATCATCCTTAATCTATACCCAAAACTTAACCTACGTCCTTAAAGTATCATTCTTAGCAGAAAACATCCTTCAAGTATTTAAAAATAAACAATTTTCATCATTCTACTTGAATTTATCAAAAAACTAACAAATCCCACAAAAATTAAGCATTTTTTCGTAATTATTATTCTTAGATACATCAAAAATACTATCATGAACTTTTTCGGTAATTGAGTTTAATATTATGAAAAATCTTTTAATTTGACTTTTTTTTCCATTTATTTTTCATGTAATTTGATATTAATATTATTAGTTGAATATGTTTCTTCTCAATTAAATATGCTAGAGCATAGAAGTGGCGTTTGTTGGAGAATTTCACTTCTAATAATGTAGAATGAAACTCAAATGCGAGACATAATCAATATTTTGATTACTTCAATATCTGATTGGCCCAAAAATTTACTGATCTAAGTACAATTTGACTTTGAAAAAGTTAAAAAGATAATTAAGCTTCAACTTCTTTCCGTTACTAAATGAGAAAAAAACAAATCATGTATCCTTACACCTTCCAAACATTTTTTTTTTGGTTTCAGTAAGTAA